GTTGTCGGGCAATTGTTGGAGATTCCAAAAATAATATTATATACAGAGTGTTCCATTTGAAAAATCAAAGTTGCTACTGCTTTCTAATAGAAGCGGCAACACCGCATTGTCGAAAATATTTTAGTTGGCTAGAGAATGTCCGAATATGCCTTCCATCAAATTTTCAAAGTGATCCGTTGTCTGGTTCACCAGAAACGTCTAATGTGCCATCCACCGTGAATCAGCCTGTATAGTGACGGCAGCTTTTTGAAAACTTCCTTTCTCAGCATCTTTCAATGCCTAAGAAAATTCACTGTGTCGCTTGAAACTATAAAAAGAAGCTAACCTTTCCCTTTTTTTTCAGCACCAGCGCGCTGAATCTTCTCGACGAGCTGATCCCTCCAAGGTACTTGGATCATAAAGTGGATCTTGCCCCCTCAGAAGAAATCCCGAACGAATTCAAGAGCTGCTTCAGCTGCGGAGTCACGTGGTACGACGACCACGTGTCGCTGGACTGCTCTGAATGCGGTGGCTATGCTTTGGAGCGTCCTTGCCCAGAATGCGATGGAAATTGCGGCGCGATGTGGGAAAGAGATCTCCACAAGGTGAGGACAACATTCGGAAATAAAAAGGCACACGTCTGACTTAACGACCTAACGATTGTAATGCCAATGGCAACAGGTTTCAATATACCTGAGTATTTGGCTGTTAATGCAACGTATATAATGAATATTTATTTACGAGCAGCACAATGTAACTGAAAAGCACTTTTTCTTGCAGCAGTATTCCATTCTGTAGATATCTTTGCAAGTTTATTAATAGTTTCCTCAAAATGTTTGTTAAAAATGGCAGCACTATTATATTTTTGCGACCAGCGTGTCTCACATAAGGCCGGAATGCTAGGACCATTTTTTTTTAAAATAAGATTCTTGGAAATAATCAATTATATATTTTAACGCAGAGGTTCTCAAACTTTTTTTTGTCTACCGCCCACTTCAAAAATTAATTATTTTCTAGCGCCACCAATTTTTTTTTACTTTACTACATCTTAAGAATCACAATGGCAGTCATTATTTACTCCATTCACTCAAAAACAGCCGTAAGTCACCGCGTTTGGTAATCTGCAACCGATTTCTCTTTTTAGTTGTTGCCACAGCACTAAATCCACGTTGACACAAATACGATGATGGAAATGCTATCAAAAATCTTTGAACGATGGACAACAATCCATCAGGGTACAATTGCGGGATTGGCTTTTGTAGCCATTGTAGCCATTGGTATCCATTTTTGTAGTTTATTTTTATTTTCTCGTTCATTATCAGTTCTATGAGTTTCTCTTCCAGCTGGGGTGATCCTGCTGTGTTAACATTTGCAAAAGGATCCAACACCCAGTCCGGTATTTCTAATTTCAAAATGTCCTGGAATCCTTCTGCGAAATCACTGGGGAGGTTCTGCAAATGTTGGCAGTACACAAGCAAGTCGTCTTTGTTGAAGGATACTGCTGACAAATTAGGGAAATTGCGAAACTCGCGTCTGCCGATATTATTCTTGTATAAGAGCAATTTGGCTACAAAAGCTGCAATGACATTTTTTGTTTTAATCAAATTCAAGTCGTCACCTTGAGGTTGGAGATTGACATCATTAAATAATTTATACAGGTCTGTCAAATACGCAATATCATTCTTTGAAGTGATGAGGTTGTCGTGCAATTCTTTGTCTTTGTTTTTCAAGAACTCTATTACAGAGTCAAATAGATTGTAAAATCGAGTCAGACAGTTACCTCTTGATAACCAAAGCACTTCTGTGTGGAATAGCAATCGGTTGAAATCTTCATCATTAGCAACCATATATAATACAGCTCTTTAAATGACAGATTATTTATTCAGCTTTGGGAGACAGCTTTGAGGACAAAAAGAGAAACCATATATAATACAGCTCTTTTAATGACAGATTATTTATTCAGCTTTTTGTATCCGTCTCTAAATTTCTGGCAAATAGTAGTTTTTGATATATTTTCTCATTTTTAATAAACCTCGCGTATGACAACAACAATGCTTCATTGGTTGGTAAAGTGGACTCATCTAACTGAATTGAGAATTTAGAAGTCTTCAGATGATTGCACAATGACTCTTCAATGTTTTCAGCCATCTCATCAATTCGTCTTTGCACGGAACTATTGCTCAAAGGAATTTTTCGGATAATATCTGCCGCTGGTTTATGGAGCATAGGATCTATTACTTCTTTTATTGCCGGTAAAATTAAATCCTTTCCAATAGTGTGAGGTTTACATGTTTGATTAGCAAGGAGATATTGTAGGAAGCTCGGAGTCCGTCGTCGTCTTGCTTAGAAACCGCTGAAAAAAGTTTTGGCACAGTTGGCTGAGCTAAGTGTTTCTTTTCCAGTTCTTGAAAATAAGTCACACTTTTGTCTTTTTTATCTGAATTCATTTTATTCAAATGATCTTGTCGCCTTGAGGATTTCATCGCTTCATTCGAAAATGTTTTTTGACAAAAAAGGCACCTAGGCGAAGATGGATTTGTGGGATTTTCGATAAATCCATATTTTATATATTCCGCGCTATACTGCCGTTTCTTCTTTTTTGCTTCCGACATAATTTTGTCTTAAAAACTACCGAAGTAAAGAAACGAGTATTAAAAACTTGTAAATGACACCACTTACAGTATTCACCACCGCACGTACAGCACGTTACCTAGCTGGTCGCTAACTAAATTCACTTGTTTTCGTAATATCGTCGAATGACATTACTGGCTGGATTGTGCGTGCGCTTTTATATGAGGCCCCGGGCGGGCCTAGTACTTTCGAGAATGGAGACTAGAAACTTCTCGCTTCGCACTGAAGCTTACCGCCATCTGTTGTACAGTTTGACAACTATCGGACAGGAAATAGTTACTATCTAGTCCCCTAGATGGCGTTACACGAGGAAACGCGCGTTAAGCGTACAGGAGCGGTAAAGTTTGTGTTAAAAGCAAAAAAAACATTTTTAAACTAGCCATCGCCCCTCCAAACCGTTTCAACTCCCCCAATCTTCTCTGTGCCCTTTACTGCCCTCCTATAGGCCTCCAGCGCTCACAAGGGGGCGTTATCGCCCACTTTGAGACATCGTAAACCTTGGCCAATGCACCTATCAGGTTCAAGTCCTGCATTTTCTGAAAACTCATCAATTTCTGACGATATAGTATCCATTTCTGCGAATTCTAGAAATTCTCAACGTATCATATATTTACTTTCTTCGTAAAAATGGATTCCAATGGAAAGCTGCTCTTTTCCAGCCATGTCACATGACTGATCTGCCATGACACTATATAAGCTTCCTTTGCAACCTGCATGATTTCATTCTTCACGTCCAAGCTGCATAAACAATTAGTTTCGTTTTGAATCTGTGGGGATGTATACATGACATTTTTTCCCATTTGCTAAATGCTATTTCAAATTTTGTTTGGCAGATTCAATTCTCAGATTTAAAAGGTCTTCAAGAATGCCTTCGTGATTCTCTTTACCCCTCAAAGGCAAATCATGAGTGCCGCAAAAAATAACTGCAGAAATTATAGAGGACACTATGTTTTTATTTTTCTCAGTTTCCTGCTGATGAGCCGTATTCATCATCACATCCACAGACATTTGCTCCGATTTTTTTTGCGTTGTTGACTGCGGATTTATGATATTGTGATGAGACATACTTAATGCAGTGTTCATCGCCCTCGAAAGCAACTATATCGAATAATAAAATCAAATTTTATAAAAATGAATAACTCTACGTTAGCCCCAGTGTTATTATCTGACTTGATCCATTCTTTTTTTTTCAGTCTCACGCTTACCAAAGATCCTACTGGATAGGAAAATGCCGAAATCGCAGTCCCAAGAAGAATCCAACGGAGGCTGAACAGAAAAACACTGACGCCTCGGAAGGACTGAGTATGAGTATGGATAAGCTCTCTGTGAAGAACTCTTGACGCTTTTTTGCCTTCTAAATTATGTCAGAGTTCACCAATATGTATTCGGCCAGACCACAATTCTTGAGGATTTTTCACTCTCTTCTACATCACAGGGTTCGATTGGAGTTGCAATAGATGTTTTATATTAAAACCGGCAAACAATTACGAAATTAGATGTTGTTATATTTTTTGAACTGTCGTTTGTGAACTGTGGCCAAACCGACAATATCTCTTCAGCTAAGGTGTTTTCACTTTTTTATAGTAATTTAAGGAAACTTTTTGTATTTTTCTTGACTGAACCGTATGTATACACCTAATAAATTTTCATTACAATGTATATATGTTTCTTTTTGAGTAGGTAACTTTGAAGAGATTTCAAATATTTGGATATATCTGCAGTATTGTTAACCCTCCGTTAGTGTGCCCAAATAATATAACACAGTAAGTGTACTGGGGTATGTCGTACCCCAAAGGAATGTCGACTCTGAATTACTAAAATATCAGAATTTGGTCATTTTGAAAACTGGGCATGTTTCTATCCGTATTTGAAAGTGTGTTGAAGCAAAAAGTCAGTTGAATATTACTTTCTGAAATATATAAACCACCATTTACAAAATATATATTTATTTTAACCTCAAAAAACACAGTCGAACTATATTCAACATAAAAAAATCCAATTGTGACATTGCATATAGAACCAAAAAAAAATTTCTAGAAAAATGTTTCACAAACAACGCAAAACTGGAAGTAATTACTTGACAAATAAAAGAGTTATGGGCCCTCGATATTGACACAATTTTCGCATGTCATCATTGCATGCTCCATACAAATTGGACTCTCACATCGTATACATACATAAAATGTCTTTCTGTCCTTGATTCTTGGACAGACAGAACATCTGCTGCTTGTCCGCCGTCGCTTGGTCCAGGTTCATGACGTTCAAACTCTTGGTTTTCCCGTAGTCCTCGGCGTAGACAGGGGTTTTTCCTACGTTGATTCCGAAATTCAGATATCAGTTGCATACCCAGTTCTTTCAAAAAATGTCGTCTCTTCAAATTGTGTTTCTGCGTATTTGCTTTGAATATAATTTGAGCATTTACTCCAGCGGAATTCATGAACGAAAAAAAAAGTGTCAAAGGCCAACGGCGGCTGTTTCTCGAAACACTATAATTAGCAGATAACTCATCCAATGTGTCTACACCGCCCTTGGTGGAATTATAAAAGTGGATGATTTCAGGTAATTTTTTGTCACCAGATTCATCAATTATAGCATCATCATGATGTAATGTAGAGAAGAGGATGACATTTCTCGACTTTTTTGGCACATATGACACAGCTGTGATATTTTCCCTGAATGCAAATACAGAACTGCGAGGTTCTCTGGTTGTTATATTCAGAAAAACGGATGGTATTTGTCGTTTGTTCTTTCTAACAGTTCCAACTGATGTAAGCTTATGCCTTTCGAGCAGATTCATCATCAGAGGGTAGCTGGTAAACCAGTTATCGAAAGTAATATTTCGTTTAGTTCCAGACACTGGTTCAATCAAACGTTCGACTATATCTTCCGGACTATTGCTTTGCCTGTAAGGCCCATCTGGCTGCGTGCCAACGTAAACCTCCATGTTCAAGCAATAATAAGTTTTTGCATCCACAAGTGCAAAAACTTTCAAACCATATACTGAAAGAATGACACTCGTCCCCTGAAATTTCCTAAAAAATATTTTATATACCGACGAAGCCACTTTCACTACAAACGGAGTATTATCACAGAATTGTCGCTGTTGGGCAGCGGATAATCCTAACTGGGTAATAAACTGTAAAAGCCAGTATTCCAAAAAAATCAACGCGCATTAATGCGCAGAGATTTCTAGAATTTTTAAACACAGAGTTTTGGGATGCTATTCACGAGCTGCCAATCAATGAACGATCAAATTTAATTGTCCAGTTAGATGGGTGTTCAGTTCATTATGCCTCAGCTGTAAGGCAATGACTTAACGAACATTTTCCAAACCAATGGATAGGCCGTGATAGTCGAAATATTTCAATAATTAGTTATTAGTTACGTTTATTAAAAGTTTCTGCTTCATTGTTAGTTGAATTGTGTGAATGTAATTCCGTTATTTTCATTAAAAATGTTTACGATATTCTTTTTTTTTTCATCTGGCGGCACTTTATTGTTGAGATCATAAAAAAAATGATATATTGTGACAGCTGTGTGAGTTTTCGAAGTTTTGAGTTGTCATAACTTCGTTAATAATGAATATTTTTTCATGCAACTACCTTTGTCAGGTAGGTATAAGCAGCACCGATGTGTGGCTTGAGAAACAGGTATTCTATAAAATATTTAAGGAAGGCTCCTTCTCAGGGTTGAAGGATACTAACTGCGCCCATCAGCTAGGAGACGCTCTCCTGATCCTAACAGGTAGACATCCAGGCTGGAATGTGCAGCTCTGGAATCATAACTGAGGATTATTTTCTGAAATATCGTCTAGGGAAGCCATAATGGCATACTGAATAGATTCCCGTTGATTGGTGGATATAAAGGTTGTCTAATATTCAAGGTTCAAGATTATCACCTCAATGATCACAGTAACCTTACCATATGAAGCCACCTATACCTGGAGATACATTAGATTTAGCGCTGCAGGGCTTTTTCACTTCTGATTTGGTTGAATTAGCATTTGAGCATCTGACCTGCTTAGGTAGAGTTGTTTTCTCTCTTGATTCTTTTGCTGCTCAAGAGTTTATTGCATGGAGGATTCATAAAGTATTCTGCTCTTGAGGAGATGACTTGGATACTTTTCCTGGCTGCAACACATATCCTCTGAAATGCATGGAAACTTATAATCAAGCGAGAGAAGTTTACGGTGCACTGAACTGAAAACTGATGGGGAAAGCACACAAGTGAAATAGTTACGAATCATCACGATTAGGCCTCTTATCTCCTTACAGTAAAACCACTAGATTCGGAAACAGATATTTCTGGCTTCAATAACAAATTTCTCTGAATGTAGAGTTTTGTAATCAAATAAACAATTCAACTGAATCACTGTTAAATGAAATATTTACCAGCTCACAGAATTGAATTGGGATATATTTGTTTTGATAACATTATTAGGTACTAGATATTTTGAATCTACAAACACAATACTTTTCCAATGACGACATTATCTTCATTTTAGTGCTAAAGATATATTTACATATTGATTGTCGAAATATAAAAAGAAATGCATTGACAATTGATAAATAAAAATGTGTAAACAAGTAAACTGGAAAAGTAATTTGAGAGTGATAAAGTGCAATATTTATTGACGGACAAACGAAATGAAAATGTGTTATTACAGATGAGTTGATAAATAAAACTAATATTAATGAAACTAAGTTAGTAGGAATAAAGTAAATATACAGGGTGTTTATTAAACATGCGGCAAAAAATTAAGGGACTATTCCTTGGACTATTTTAAGGATATTTCGTTCTTTGATGATTTTTGATAGGGCGCGTCGTTTCGGAAATACTGGGCGAAAAAGAATTTTGACAATAGCAATTTTGGTAATTTTAAAATTATTAATGTAGCCGAAATAAAAGTATAGTGTACTACACTGGACCTACTATGTAATAAAAAATGTAACAAGTCATTAGTTTATACTACTCCAGTGGAGGTTCTTGAATTATCTTATATAAATTCTACTACACGCTTCTTGACATGAATCATTCGTTATTTTATTTTCGGCGAAGGGTGGTATATTATGTTAATTCTTCTATGAAGTGTTTTCATTTTTATTGTTACGGCAATGAATCGAAAATTGCCTTCGAGGGGAATGGGTATAGCAAAATAGAATTCGAGTAGGCCATATGATCCAGGAGAGAAACCCCAGCTAGGTCAGTTGAGGAAAAAGTTTTCCTTCCCTATGTTTTCTGTCAAAAAAACTGAGATGCATTCCATTCAAATTGACTGTGAAACAGTTCAAGCACAAATCTGTTGTTATAGTTTAGTAGAAAGCCAGTCAAGATTAGGGTAGAAAAACTGAAAAAACTTAGAACTTTTGCAAGACATCCAATAAGGATTCTTTAAAATACCTCATAAAAAATTGCGGATATTCTACCAAGTTAATCATGATCATATGATTTTTTTCTACAGTTTGTATAATTCATATGTTGTAGAGAAGTAACATTAAATTTCTGAGACCCAATAAAATAACAGTAAAACAAAATTAAAAAAAGTTTATTCATATAATTATCTAAGCAGTGCTTTTGTACAGAAACGTAGAATTAGAGCTTTTTCAATGATCCCTGGATTCAGGAAGCGATCAACATGTTGTATCGCTTCAAGTACAAACATATTTTTTACAAAAATATATTACTACAGTCATAGCTGCAACTGTCGGAAGAATAATATATAGTTTGCCCAATTTTTTTCTTTTCGCCTCGTTTTGTCTTGAAATCTAAAAAAAACTTGTATTTCAAGATTCTTGTTACCAAATATTAGCTCAACTGTTACACCTTGGATTTGAACGAATCTATTTCTTTTTCCAGTGAACATAAAACATTTTCCAAACAGTTCACAGCCGGGGTTAACCTTATATCACAAAGATCAATATCTTTTCTATAGTCTGCACAAATCAAGAGGGCTAGGTGACCATTGAGATGTTCAGACATGTCCCTTAGCGCCCTATTTATATACTCTTTGTCGACCAAAAGGTCTATCTTCTTTCTGAAATATAAGTAAACGTAGTCGTGTTTCAAGTCTTCGAAAGAGATCATCAAATATCATTCTTACTCAGCAGGAATGCGCAGGTTGTTCAATTTCAGTAAAATTTTCTCTCGTTTTTTTTCATCTTGAATGCCAACAATCTGCAGGTCTTCATCACTTAAGATTTTCAATGTTTCCGTATCTATATTGTTGTTTTTGAAGTTGTCATACAATTCTTCACATTCGCAGGAACTCAAAATAGTTTTCAACAGATCCATGAGAAAGAATTATCAGTGGAAACTGTTGTGATTGCACCAGAATTGCATCAAAATCTAAATGAAACTGTTTTCCTATTTTCATTTTTTAAAAAGGTGAGGTTATGAACCATATGAAACCATAGACTTGACAGGATGGACCGATCATGAGAAAAGGACCATGACCTAAAGATTGAAAAGAAATAGATGCGGTGGATGGCAATGTGGCTAATTGCCGGCAACGTTTCTGTTGAATGGTATGAACGCAAAGTCAAAGAAGATTTACTTTCTTAAAACGAAAATGTGTGTAATGTTATCCCACATATGACAATAAACCAGGTGACATCCAAATGATTGTACACTGCACCATTCAGTTTGTTTCTGGTGTAAAAAACTTGAAACTCGAATAGAAGGTATACTTCATTAGAGCCAACATTTCTAATTGAAAAACTATTGAAAACCTATTTCAATTGAGTCAAGAATGGAACCAATTCAATGATTTCAAATAGAACCTTGTACTTCTTGAAATTCTTGAAATTTCGTTCGACATCTGAGCAAACTTTATATTTTGTTTTCCAGTACAGCAAGTTATTTGACAATATTTCAATAGCTGTCGTCATTGTTTCGTTATATCGAATTTGGCAACATGACTCCTACGCCGCCATATTAAAAAAAATCATTCGGGTTAAATCGTTGAAAATATAATTTAATTTTCTGTTATATGGACTAAGGAAATAATCAGCGTCTACTTGAAATTCTCAACTTAGACCAAGTAGGTTTTTGATTGTTTTCACATTAAAATACCGGCTTTAATAAACTATACTTTTTGTTCTGGATTAGAATGTATTTTGGAACAGATCCTGTTATAATTTTTATTTATTTGGTCTCACAGTTTTCGAATATCGGGCCGAAAGTGATTGTTTTGTAATACACATCAGATGTGTTACACATTTTTATTATGTATTCATTATAAATCTGGACAGACAAATTAATTCACATTGGATTTGAAATCACATGATCATGTCTAAAATTTTCTCGATTATCTAAACGTTAACGTATTTCTAAACACTTTCAAATTTCTTGGGTGCCTGCAGGTAGCTGTTCCCATGATATAATTTGCTGGAGTTTACATATATCTTCTCTTTTCACTACTCTTCACTAGGTACCAGTCTATTCTATTACGTCTCTACATAAAAAAACAGAACCACAGAGTACATGTGTACTTTGTGAACAGAACTCATAGTTTTATGAGCGCTTGAAACATTTTGTGCTTATCATAATCACGGTATGACAATATGTTGTGAAACAATCACAGAAGAAACATATCACAAACACTGTTTTCTCCAAATTTTAGGATGTTTTTCAGATTTTGAACTAAATACATTTCTGAAAAATTAGGATGATAATTAGTAGACAGCATACATGTAGAATATTGCCAAATTAAAGATGAAAAATTGAAATATTTTCCAGAACTCTGAACGACTCTCAGCGTATTCAATCGCGGTAGGCCACAAATACTAATATCGATGTCTTCAGAAGTATATGTCAGAAGATGTCAAAATTAAAAGTCTCATTAAGTCATTTAGTAAGGCCTCTGTTTGCCCGTCACAAACTCAAAAAGGCCAATCTATTATCTAGTTTGTACCTTCTATCTTTCGTTAAGACGTTACGTTACTATACGCCTTTCGCGGATAAACATGACGAAGAGAAAATTTCAAAACTTTGGTGTCATCACACCGTTCCTGAAATTCTTTCTTTAGCCGATCGCCTTCACGAAGAAGAACGATATATGGACGCGTACGAACTGCTGGACAGAATACGATTGGTCAAGGAACCGGAGGTGCTTTGGAGGATTGCAAGAGTACTTTACAACTTGAGCTTCGAACATGAAGTTACCAGTGATGTCAGATGGGAGATGCTCGAAGAGGCCCAAGACGTTTTAGATATTGCGCTTTCTTTGGGTAAGTAAGTGTTAGCACTTTATTCAATATTCATGATAAGATCAATGTTATTCGTTAGTCCTATATAGGCGGGGTGGCTGTCCTTGTTTATCTTGCACCGCCTGAACCACTGTGCATGCTGGCTTGGGATGTGGGGGTTAAGCAAACCAGCCATTGGATGCCTGCTTCTACGTAGCCCCGCTGGATACGGATGGTTCTGTTATTCCCTAACTGAATGGCATCCCAACGATGGCTTAATCCTAAGGTGTGTGTATCCATACCGAGAGGATGAATGACACTGAGTCTATCAGCTCTCTCCTTATGGAGCCTTCGAGATACCGGGCGCCCTCTCGTCGTAGCATCGCCTTTTTGACACGGAATTTGACGTTAGGTTACGTCAGTTGTCAGTTTGTGCTTTATTTTGATCATTATAGTTTATAAAGTGCTTGGAAACGTTTTATCAAATACGTTGTGAGGATGTACAATATAAAACTGTATGCCCAAATCCGATTTTGAGGTTGGAGAAAATTGAAGAGTTTGTTTCTATTATTGAATTTGACATCTGACACAAATTGAAGCATTCTATGCTGACGATTCTTATTATTAATGACGTCAACTCGAATACGATTAAATGCCACTTCTTGTAGTCTGAATTCGCCCGGCAGCGGGAGCGTGTTTCCAATAAATTGTTGGCCTAACGCAATCGCGGAACAATTTTCCAATAAACTTTGGTATCAAAAATGAAAATTAATACCAATATCCTTAACAAGGATGTGAAACAACAGTGTTGGACGGTGTTGCCGCTTCCGGCTCATCATGGCTTCTTTGTTAAATTGCCTGTGGCAATATCTATCACTGATTGAATTTCAGGTATTGAGTCAGCAGAGGTACATAAATGGTCGGCCATAATCTTAGACACTTATAACGGCTTGATAAATTTGGAAAACCGAGTGAAGAGTTTCACTTCGGTAAGGGATCATTTGAAAAGAGCATGTGAGTTGGACCCACGCGACTTCACGGCTCATTATATGCTCGGAAAATGGTTTTTTCAGATGTGCCAGTTGAACTGGTTTCAGAGGATGATTGCTAAATACTTCATAGCGACGGAACCACCAAAATCGAGTTATGATCAAGCTTATAAGTGAGTATGAACAGTAAGTTATTTTCGTGATACAATCAGAGCAAGGTTGGGTTTCTATTATGTTCATCTTAAAACACAAAGTCTCCTAAAACAAAAATCAAGTGGAGTGAGGTGAACTACCAACTACCATTCATCATTATTTATTTGAAATTCTTCATTTCCCTTTTCTCACTGTGGATTTATTTTTCTTTTAGCGTCAGTGGTTTTCGACAGATTGACATATGACTGATCTGAAAATTAAGTGCTTTGTGCTCTGTCATCGACGTGATCGTGATTTATAAGTTCTATGACAGACGGACACGCGGGACACGCCTATCATAATGAGACGGAAGACAGTAGTAGACAAATTACTCGACTATCGAAGGTCAAAGTGATTGAAATTTGTAAATATATAACCGTGGCCTCGTTCGAATCAATGACGTAATGCAAAACCAAATGAAAACAAAATGTATGCTTTTCGTCAATGTGGTATGCATGTACGAAAAAATATTGATCTGTATAGCAGGACCAGCCCTGACACTGCTTCATATTCCACTACGCTTGTAAATCTGACGCAGCATCAGTTCGCGCATGCGCCCTATCCAAAATTAAATATCAAAGAACTTAGTTTGTAGTTTTTGTACCGTTCAGATACTACAAAACTGAACTGTCACTTATTGTCGGGAACCAGGATCATGCTAATTTTCAACAGTGCAACTTAGTAGATGGTACCCAATTTTTTAAATTTACAGCAGTTAATTTTTGAAAGCTGTCGTTTCGACCAAATATTTCTCAGCTTGAAATAATGATTTTGAAAATTAAAAATAAATATCAATTTGTTCACGAACGTATAGTCACACGGAGCTCTTGAATGATCATTGGCGACAGATCTAATCCATGCTTTCAAGTTGGAATCAGACAACCAATATTGAGAAAAAGTTCATTTTCGAGACTTTCAACTCTGGTAGTTTTATTCGTTCGAGCTGCAATCAGATGGACTATCTTCCATTTTCACTGTAATTTGTTCCATATAATTCATAATACTCGAGACTATTAGTTCCAAGATATTGGATGATAGTAATGAAAATATCCAAGAATATTCTTTTTCTCTTTCATCATGTAATGGCCACAGCTACTAAGACTATAACGTATTGACTGTGCATTCAATTACTCAATTGTCAACTGTCAGTTTCGAGTACTGTCCATCGTTACCAACTGGCCGGATAGCCTTAGTTGCTGAGGCTATTGAATCGAAAAGAAGAAGAGAAGAAGAGTACTGTTGAGTGCCTCTTATTCTTCCATATTTTTTGAATATTGATTATTTGTAGAAAATTCCACTACTTTACGTTCAAATCCGCTACGCCGCTACCGCCGAGTAAATGCCGCTACGGTTGCGACAGGTTACACCTGCAACAGCGAGACAAAGTGCTATTACCGTTCTTGTTTTTCAGGTATCTACTGAAGGCAGAAGAACTGCAACCGAGAACATTTTTACCAAACATGTACTTGTTGGGCGAAACGTGCGTAGAAACTGGACAGTTCTATAAAGCGAAGTATTACTTGAATCTGGCCATCAGCTTGCCACCAAGAGACGACTGCGAAAGATGTTGCGTCTCCAAAGTTAGATATCTTCTCAGAAAACTCGAGAGATTTGATATGGGCAAAAGCGTGTTATTTTACGACCCGCTAGGTTTCAACGATTGAAGTTACAGATAAGAAGTGTATCTGAATGAAAATATATTTGCTGCCGTATTGTTATTATTATCATTCACCTAAAATCGGTTGCTGTAAGCTGAGTTTCGACCAATTTGAAGGGCGTGCCAGTTTCATTCATTAATGACCACTTCTCACAATCGTGAGATGGGTGATCTTTGGGTACAGGAATCGTGTGACCCAAGAAGACGTAGCGAACCAAGAATGACAGCCTTACGCATTTCTTCGGCTACGATGTCTGCCATCTTGAGGCAAACCAGCATGATTTTGAGATCAAAGAGTAGCTCGGGCTACTACTATAATTATTTTTCAAGAATAAGTATTAGTGTTGCTACTATTACCTCTTTTCTGGAGTGATAGATAGGGAAATTGTAAAGAAAAATTGAAATCGCTTCAAATTCATGGATTAAATATATTAAAACCGTAATATATATAATCCATCTCATTAGTAAGAATGCTCTTGTCATATACCTAGATTATGTAATTAAATGAAGGAAATGTATCTGCAAAGTTTTCAGATGTTCAAATTCAAAGAATATTTCACTACGCATATATGTGTCACGGAACAGAATTATCCCTCTAACCGAGCAATGGGAACAACCTTGAACATTGTTTTACATTCTCTCCGCTAGGTATCAGCACCTCCTTGTACTGAATATCACGCTAGCCAGAATTTAGACCCTATCCCAAATTTGGACCTTCCCCTCTATCCTTTTTACCAAAATACAGCATATGAATAATTTTTAAAATTTCAACGGACTTCAAATATTTTTTTTACTTTTAGTGACTATTAACTTGAACACATTCTTTACTTGAGATTATTTTTATTGTGAGAAGGAAAAGTAGTTTTACTCAACGTGAAGTCAATTAAGAAAGTACAAAATAAAACATAAACAGTATCTTTTTTAAACTTTTTAATAAAAAATAACAATATCTCTCCATACATCTTACACAATAACACGCGATTCGTTTCACCCGTCCGACAACTCTTCGACTGACTCGCAAACCTCGTTGATCGGCGGAAAATCGTATCTCGGACTGATCTCGGAAAAGTCCACGTACACCTTTCGCTTTTTCACGTCCAACAGTTCTACTAGTTCTTCGAAAGATGGCCTCTCGTTCGGCCATTCGCACCAACACCTCAACATCAACGAGTAGAGTTCGTCCGTACAGATGCCGGGCCTTTCCAGTCGATTTCCCATTTTCAGCGAGGGCAGTACCATGCCGTCGACTGTGTTTTCGTACGGAAAAGCCCCTGAAACGATTAAAGGAATAAATTGCAGAATATTTATCTCACGGCAGGTGGAAAGTATACGAAGCTATTTTTAAGATTTGGTGGTCATGGTATGTAGGTTTGATGCCAGACGTTTCGTCTACATCTGCGGTAGACATCGAATGCTTGACGTCAGGGACGCAGTATTTGCCCAACGATTATGGACATTGGAGGATTGCTTACTTACATATATCGCCACGTTAAACAAGCGCCGAGCAGATGTGACGTAACACTGGTGACACTTTTAGTAGCTGCCATAAGACTGTGATAACCTTGTAATTTTTAGTTGAAATGTCTGGTCGTATTTGTGCAGTGTCAACTTGCAAAAGCAATCAGTTGACTTTAAAGAAAAGTGGTGTTACTGATGTAATATTTCACTGTTTTCCTATTACTAAGGATATGATTTCTACAACTTTGCAAACATAATGGATTCGTCGTTGCAAAAGAGGGGATAAATTCACTCTCAAAAATGGATTTGTTTGTTCTAAACTTTTTTCAGAAAATGATTATAAACGAGACCTTGAAAATGAATTCTTATTCTATTCTATTCATTTATTGCTTAAAATAAATATGGTTTTTTATAGGTTTGCCTTTGCGTCGTAAATTAAAAAAAAACTGCAAAAAGTTTTTCCTTCAAATATTATTTTTGAATTTTGCAAACTGAGAACAATTATCAGAATGAAATATAATAACTTAAAGGCCTACGAAAATAGGTCATTTAAAAAAAATTAAACAATTTTCATAATAGAAAAAAAATCGAAAATCAAATGAAGTAATATATTAGTCCTTTAAATTAATTTTTCTACATTCAAGCAAAAAAAAAACAATTCAAATATATCAAGTGGATAAAGTAATTCCTTTTTGCTCTAATGTGGTATTATAATATATTAAATTGTAGATTTGTGAATTTCATCATTTACGGAACAAAGTTTAAGTTAAATTATTCTATCTAAATTTCTCATTTCCTTAATATAAAGTAAAAACCGTATCATGTATTTTCTGTCAGATAAATAAAAAAAGTTGTTACAACTATAAACAATGTATTACTTATATATATTTTTAATTATTTAGCGTTTATTATAAAAGATGGAACAAAAAGTTATAAAAAAAAATTGTAAATAATATTATCATCTAAAATAATGTTCATTACAAAGTTTTTGTGGGAGTTACAGTTTTCACGTAAATAATAAAAAACTGATGAAACCTCTTACTTTTAAAAAGAGCAAAATAGCTCGCCCTATCATCCACAAAAGAACAATTTTTACTTAGTATTAATCCATTTATATTAAGTATTCAATCCTATATAAAAATAATATTTCAATGAGAGATTTACCTGAAATTTGTTTGTTTTAATTTAAAAGAGCAATACCCAATCAATCCAGAGTCACCACTGTAACGTCACGAGATCACGTGACGTGTCTAACAAAATCGCAAAAGTAAGCAATCCTGTATATCAACAATCGTTGGTATTTGCCTTCCTCCCATAGACCTTTTCATCATAAGATGAGCGCAAGCGTAGCTGTCATATTGAAATGGCGGTAATTCAAAATATTCGTACTGTTTTAATCAACAATGGCTGGGCAAGGAATATTATCTCTACAAACAAATAAATTATTGGAAAAAACCATTGATGGTGCTTCACTTGTTTATTCACAATTAAAAAGGTGGTTAATACGTCATGGGCGTCCGCAAAAAGGAAAAAAAGTGAGCTGATTGCTGATTGAGAGGTTAGGTATCAGCATTTGTTTACTATCTAAAAATATATGAAAAAATAGTGTTTACAGTTTTATTCTTATTAATAATGTCAATTTATTTGATGTATTTGAAAATATATTTCAGTTGGCAAGGGTATTACTTATGAAACTAATAAATAAATCAAGCCATGGATATTTTGAGGCTGTACATATGACATTATTAATTAGACAAATATGTAAATACTGGATTGAATATGTTTAGTAATTTTTATTAGAGGGAAATATTTAATACAACATAATATTTATGAAATTTACAGTCAAAAATGCTATAAGAAATAATGTACGTATGTTGAAATTCCTGATAACTTAAATGATCAGGGTTTTCAAATTTTGTACACTTTGCATATGCCTTAATATGTAATTTGCTTGATGATTTGATTTTGTTTGCGATATTTAAGACAAGGCTTTGGAAAAGTTATAAAATAGTATGTGTTGGTTTTGAATGATTTGTATCGTGTATTGACTTTTACATACTCCATAACAACACCGTTTTGTAGTTCCTTTTCGTACAGATAACATGATTATAATGGAGCATAAAAAATTTTTTCTGATTATTTTGACTTATTACTTTATTTTTTTTTCACTTTTTTTACAATTAATAAACTTCAATTTATATTATAATTTTTAAAACATGAGTTGCGGGCTCTTCAACATGGTTGTTTACATAAAACAGTACGAGAATGATGGCTGATACTGACGCATGCGCATAAAAAAATTGTGATGAAAAGGCCTATTCCATCGCTATGGGAAAGTCTTCTCTAGGCAAACTTTTTCATAAAAAAATTCAAACAACGAACCTTAGAACCTCATTATTCCTCACATATCTGCAAATATCCACTTCACAATAGAACGGAAAACCCAAGGAACAATTGCGATTTCGATTAGGAACATGGGATATATGAACACAAATTGTACAGAAAACCAATGCACATGCAAATATATATCTAAACAAGAATTCTAACCACCAGCTTCTTGGATGTGTAAGGTTACATATCTGAAGATGTAATTTTCAACGTTGGGTGTTTTGAGTCTTCAGTTTCATTCTAATGGTTGTAAGGCTGAATTCCTTCCTGATGAACCGCAGAGAAATATCATGATGGCAAACTTTTTCATGATAAATTTCGAACAACGAGCCTTAGAAAGGAAAGACATGAAAACACATTGCTGGCTTGCTAGAAGTATAGTAAAAGTGTTTACAACCAAAGAAAGATGACATGGATACAACATAAAAATAAAAAGAAAAAAAAATATTACATCAAATTGTATATAGATGTGCTCGAGATATATTTCTTAATTCACTCCTACTGCAGTTAAAAATATCACACATATTTGATGATTTGTTAGCATTTGAACACATCATATTAATCGGAGCTTTAGAAATAATATTTGTTTGAGCTCTTTTGCTCTTGAAAAGTGATATAGGTATGATCTAGACTCCAATCTCGGCACATAAAAATCTATTTGTTATAATAGTACAGGGGAGTCAACTTCACCATTCAATAGCTTATGTAAAAATATTATGGATGCTTGATTTCTGTGCTTTTCTGAAGATACTAAATGAAATCTGGGTAGTATATTCCGTAATTCAAGTTTCCAAGTTCTCGTTTACCTTTCCATGAATACTTACCTAGAGTTCCAATCTCCCACAATACGACGCCAAAAGACCAGACATCGCTCTTACTATCGCACTTCCTTTCTTCAATCGCTTCTATGGCCATCCATCGTAGAGGGCATTTTTTGGATTTGACGCTAACGTAAGAACCTAACCTAGACATTCCGAAGTCGGATATTTTCAAGATCTTGTTGTTGGTTATCAATACGTTTCTTGCTGCTAAGTCTCTGGAATATTGTCGAATATGGAAAATAGTCATGAAATAATTCAAGTTCATCCAAGCAAATACATGAAATGAAAGATGTTTCAACCTCAACTGCAATATTCTAAAACAAAAACACTCAGTATCTACAATTCCATCTTTTAATATTCCAAGTTTATAGACATCAAAATATATACGATTGCAGACTTAAAGAGTAAAAAAAACATTAGGCATAGTAAATTAGACTACTTTTCCGCAAAAATTAGTAATGCTACCAATAAAACAAATAATAATTTATTATTTATTTACAATACCATGCATTCTTTTATAGTTTGAAAGGTTAGGTTTGAAAGCAGCTATAATAGCTGAACCTCGCCCATTCATCATATTATGTTTCATCATATCTTTCTACTGTTTATTTTTATTACGATGAATAAAGACCTGTTATTATTATTATTATTATTATTAACTTGTCGATAAAGTGTGTCGACTCCTTGATAAATGACTCTATATTTCCTATAAATGGCTGCAGGAGAGTTGTCAAGTATTTGGTCAGCTCATAAGTTGGTGAACCAATCGCATTCACGATAGGTCTAAGTGGCACATTCCTTTTTAGCTTAGGATTTTTATATAACATTCTTTGTGTTGTTCTCTCTGTTGGTTCTTTTTCATTGAGAGATCAACGAAGGGTACCCAGCCCCCATCTCGGAATTTCCCGTTGACGAAAACTTTCATGGATCACTTCCAAGTTNTCAGTTGTTCAATGCATCTCACTATGTTGTCGGGTACCGCAAGGCATCTGAGCAAATGCAAGATGAGCTCATGCGAAATTGTATCAAATGTTGGCAAAACTGCAATCCAGGCCATAGAGAGGTTACGCTTATATTGTATCGAGTCCTGCGTTACACATCTATCGATGAGCAGCCCATCTGGGCTGAACACATAAGCTACGTTGCACGGATGCGTATTAAGCATTTTACCTTGTACGGTGACCTGAGCAAAGTTGCAACCTCGGCATATGAATTTTTGTAAATACTGAGGCAAGTCAGGATCACTAGGAGAAATTATTGAGTATTCAGTATTCATGTCTCTCTGACAAAAGCCAGTCTAAAGGGTAAGGGAGCTAGGCTCCAGCATGAATGAAATCAAAATGACGAACATGTTATTGATCACTCTTGGGAAACGGTTGCAGAGCATTTGTAGAATACAGTACATCTCCTCTTCTTCGATCTTGCTGGGTAGCAGTATAATGTGAAGTAAATTCACACAATTGTATCACTAATTACCTAATAATTGTTAATTACTAATAGTTCTAGGAATAAATCGTGACGGTTAAAAAATTTCATGTTTTTGGTAGCAATAGATAAACCAAACTCAACTGCATAAGATTTTTTTGGCCAGGACTATTCAACTCACCTGTGAACGACATTCAATTTCTCCAAATGTTTCATACCACTGGCGATTTGGAAGGCAAACTGTTGTAGTTCCGTATGGTCCAACACAGGTTCAACCAGTCGATTGAATTCGTTAGTGGGTGTAATGGGTTCGCTTCCCAAAGAGGTAGTTTCAGCTGAAAAGAAAACAGGTGAAAAACTCATTGAGATGCTATGACATGTTTTCATGAATTATAAATCCACGATCAGTTTTCATGTGAAACACTGGACCGTAGGGAGCAGGATGATGTGGTGTACCCATACTTTCGATAAAATTAGTCATGTTATTCTTATTAATAAATTTTCTGATATGGGTTTCAACGATAACTATATTCATCTTTTGAAATCATATATTGATCAAAGGAAGTATTATGTTCATTATAATGGTTTCTCTTCAAATATTTATACTGCCACTAGTGGAGTCTCTCAAGGATCTAATCTTGGACCATTACTTTTCTTAAAAAATTATTTATGCAACACATTATACTGCAATATATTGATGTTTGCAGATGATTTAAAGTTATGTATCTCTGTAATCGATATAGATGACTGTACTTGTGATGCACTTTGATGAACACAGTTTAATCTTATTCTTGAAGATGTTCACTTGGTGATCGAAACACGTATCGAGATGTTGAAATAACGGTTTGGTGTTGGGATAAAGTTCCAGTACTATTCATAGATGACTGTACTCCATTGCAAAAGCAGTTGAACACTTTAAGTGACTGGTGCCAGAAAAACCGCCTCAATTCAAATACAGGGTGTAACTGAATAAGTGTAAAACATTTGAGAAGATGATTCCTCATTGAAAAAAAGATAGGATCTTTCATATAAAGAATTTTCATTGGAGCATCCCTTGTTAAGATACAACCCCTTAAAGGGGGTACATAAAATTTGTATAACAATTTTTCCACAAGCACTGAAAAAGTTACAATATTGAAATTAACCTGACGTTTTGTACTACCAAAAATACACTTAGCGAGTGCTTTTTTTCACAAGCACTGAAAAAGTTACAATATTGAAATTAACCTGACGTTTTGTACTACCAAAAAGACACTTAGCCAGTAATTTATTTGGTTTACCCCATGGTTGTAAGGGGAGGAAAACGCAACCTCTAAAATTTATTTCCAATATAACTTTTTGTCTTATTATTTGTTTACCATTTAAAAATTTATTTCCGATAGCCTGTTTCATTCTCTTGGGTTTTTTGCCGAAAATAAACGATGAGGAATCACCTCCTCAAATGTTTTACATTTAGTTACACCCTGTATTTTCAAATGGAGAACTGTACCATTTACCAGAAAATTCAATACCATACAATTTGCATACGGTATCGATTAAACTATTTTAGTTAGAACTAACAGTATCAGGGATCTAAGTGTCCATTTTGATTACCAACTTACTTTTAATACTTACATTAGTTTAATTATTGTTAACTCTGTCTATTGCTCTTACGGCTTTACTGCCAGAAATTGTAAGAATCCCTAATATACGTTTTCTTGTATCAAGATCAACATCTAGAAATATATACCGTTCAAACCATCAGTCGACCTCATGTCATATTTTTGTTGTAGTGTATGCGATTGAAAAATAAATCTCGTGCACACTTGTGAATTATGGATAATTATTAATGATTATAGTTCATTTTTATTCAATTTTTTGTTTTACAGTCTGCGGAGTTGAAAGAGAAAATCTCGATATTTTATCCGCTTTTCCTCCTCTTTTAGGACGATATTCGTCTCGCCAGGAGCTGAAAACTCCACGACAAATATAATCTTGCTCTGGTGGTCGAGAAGGACTACATCAGGCTCATTAGCTTGCATGAGCCTGAGGGTGGGGAACGAATAGTTCCAATAAATTCGGCACTTCTCGTTCCCCACAACGGATTCAATATCCCCTGGAGCGTAGGGCAACACCGGTGTCCCGTCAATACCGTAAGAGTGCCGTAGATGGTAGGGCCGCGTTATGTCGCGGATGGATATAGGCCGAGACAGCATATGATGGACATGCTGATAGCAAGTGCATTATTATTATTATTATCATTATGACGATGATAAATCAAAATCTTAGTTTAACTGGTCAAAATCGAGGACATGTGACGCTTTGTTTGTGATTTTTAAAATTTTGGGCTTTCATTCCAAAATTGTATTCAAGTAAGGTTAATTTTTTCACTTATGCTATAATCTAATTAAATTGAATCATATATGACGAAAATAAGTGTGGTAGTATTTCAGGTGAGTTCTTTCTTTCTACTGAAAAAACAATAGATCTTTCAATGTTGAGCGTGGCGCTTCCCTCGTGCGATTTATCTTCTTCTACAGTGGATTGATTCGCAATATTTCGCAATCTGACTGCATTATGGTTTCGTTGTGAACGATTAGAGTTTCTTGCTCGCACTGCGATGGGTAATGAGTTCCATGAGTTTCTTCAATCTTGGGAACAGGAAAAAGTCGCAGATGACCAAATCTGGTTAATACAGTGGCTGAGTGTTGTTTTTGGCCCAAAAATTACGAACAAGCAATAACGAGTGAGCAGGTGCATTATGGTGATGCAAATACTTCTCGCAAGCGGCGCATAACTTCAAAAGATAATACTCCTAATTGACCGTATGACCATGTGGCAAGAACTCATGACTCAAGAAAGCCGAATATTTAGTGATTGTGAGTAAATTAATGAAACTTACTATCCGCGCATGAAGCCAACTTAGCCGAATTCAAAGAGGACGGTGTTTGGGGAAGCTGTGTACACTCCGAGCTGTGTCTCTTCCTTTGATTGAAGCCGTTAGCCTGCTTTGAGAATTTCATATCGCAGTTTCTCTTCAAGAACGTGTCCAGCTCGTCAGGTTGGATGTACGAGCCTTCCGACTTGCTGAAAGACGAAATAAATGAAACAAGACGCTCGCACAGGTTGCAGCTTTGTTCTGCATATCCTTACCTCGAGATACTCTGGTTTCCCTTGTCGGTTGTATTGTCGCTGAAAATGAAACGAGTATCAGTAGATGAATAATGGTAGGTTACCTCCGAATGAATCGTAGATTCTGAGAAATAATCCAAAAAGATATACGGGGAAGGATGCACAAATAGGAGCAGGGAACTTCTTAGGCTGCTGGAGTCTGAACAAATTGTATCCAGATGGTATTGGGTGGTGACAAAAAAAGTGGCAGATTTGAAGAAGACGAGAATTCAGTGCAGTCGTATAAGTAACCGAGACTCGATGACATTCACCCAGAAACGTAATAGAAATGAGCGGAACTTCTACTTCAAAAACTGTGTGTGATTTTGAAAGCATGATTGGCTTTGTATATCTGATTATTAGGCAGAATTTGCATAAGGCTTTGTGCCAATTTTGTCATTGGTATTGAAAACCTGAGAAAAACTACTTGGTGGACAGCATATTATTGGCTAAAAGACCAGTTCATGGAAACCAGACCTGGTATGTGAAGCGATTTTATTTCAGGTCACGGAAAAAAGCAGAATATGGTTTCAAAAACAAGGTACACTTTCACTTAGAACCAGTCTTCCAGGCGTCGAAGAGTGAAGAGATCGACGATACAAGCTGCATGTGGAAAAATTGTATGCTTGGAGAAAGATGAGTTTAATAATTCAATGATAGGTTTCACATACTATGATACATTTTCCTCTCCAAGAGGACCTGATTGCCGGTATTCAAGCAACACAAATGTGTGGCTTGGGAAGTGAGTCTGTAGTGAAACATTTTAGGTTCACCCTCCCATGGCTATAGGGTATTAACTCTATCTATGTGTTCCGGATGAATGATTGATATAAAGGTTGTCGTATATCCAAGGTGCCAGATTTCCATCTTAGCAACGTTTTCAAAAGAAGGCATCTGTAAGTCAGCTAGCACTGACGATACAATAGATTCAGCCATGCAGGACACTTTCGCCTCTGATTCAGGTGAATCACGAGCATTTACTGACTCAAGAGAAGTATGTTTCTTCTCCTGATGCAGATTCTGCTTCTGTTGGTCAAAAAGTTGGCGCCAGGAAGATACATGAGTCAGCCCGCTCTTGGGGAGTCGATAAGTCGTTTCCCGGTTGCACCACATAACCTGCCAGGTTTGTTAACAGGATCAAGAATAGGAGTCGGTTACTTCATGGTACATAAAGTCTTCCACGAGTAGCTAAGAAGAAGAGGTTCCTCACGGCAAAGCTCTGCATACATTGCTCTTGGGAAAGCGATAAATTATTTCTTGGTTGTACTACACAGCCTCCTAGGTTTGTTATCAGGATCAATAGTTGGAGGTTCATCTTCTCTGTAGACTCAAAGTCGGATTCTTTGGTTACTTTATGGTACATAAAGTCTTCTACGTGTAGCTAGGGAGGAGAGATTCATCACAACAGAGCTCTGCATTACCATGACCAGGTTTTCTACAACTGGAGGGAGCTTGTTATCTCGAAGGATCCGTGGTCACATCAAGTGGGCTCAGAGTCATAAATCCATTCTCTATAAATAGTTACACATTGGAATGAGACCGCAATTCAGGTGAACCAACATTTAGTAATGATGAAAGGAACTGTAGAGATTGACCTGATGCTGATGGAAAGTAATGAAGGACCGAAACCAGCTCAACTGAATGGTGGTTGAACCAATATTAACATTATGCTCCTTTGGTTTGGTGACCAAATATGAAACGAGTGACTGCTATTCCCAAACAGAGCAAGCTGCGAATACTTGTTTGTTATTGACTTCAAGATCACGGGAAGCAATCTTGAATCTACCCGTTTTACATCTTATGTGGGCCCAACTCAGACTTAATGACATCAAAGTATACTTCCGATACTAACTCCATGGTAGAAGTAAAAAATCGTGAAGACTGAACAATGAACACTCATCCAAAGAACACACTAGAGAGAAAAACTTGGTAAAAGAACATGGGCTGTGGTCTTTATCGATTGACTGTGACTTTTCTTGACATTTCTAGGTGTGGCGCCGCTATGAAAATATTTCTATCGGCTTCCAAATATTTCCATCGAGGTATATAAGCACTACCAACAGGCAGAAGAGGCTAGTCTAGTTCGAGAAATGCAGAGAAATTGAGCTAATAGGATTATAGAGTAACAGTCTGAAGTTCAGTTAATTTTTTTTTGTTGTATTGACACTAAACTAGTGAAATGAAGTTGAGTTCATTATTGATTCGGACGTTACTTGATGAAGATCCATAGTAATTTCATAAACTACACCTCACGATTTGATTTCCACAAACTTCATTTGAAAAATATATATCACAACATGTTTCGCTAACATAGTAGCTTTATCTAGTTGAGTTTGAATGTAGGTACAGTGGTGTCAATTATTGTCAAACCCACGGGAAAAACTTCACAAAGTAATCGAAAAATTTGGGCATTTAAGGAAGACCTGGATAATTGTTTTAATAGAGCAAGGATGGGCTCATAATATTCAAAGAACTACTCACTGGATCTGAGAAAAGTACGATTGTATAACAAAAACTTCAGCTACAAAAAGTTCAACAAAGCAGCAAATAAGCAATTTATGAACAACCCAAAATGTATTATGAATAATCAAAACTGCATATTCAACTTTTCATTTTTCTCATAGAGACTGGACATCGCACTTACTCAGGAAAGAAGAATCTCGAGTTCCTCATCGTCATCCACTTGGATCTCAGACTCAGGAGGTACTTCTTCAGGGAGCCGCATGGAACCAGTTCCATTATCATCATGTTGGGTTGGTCTTTGGTCACGCAACCAAGCAATTCGACGATGTTTGTATGAGGCTCGATTTTTTTCAATGTGTTTATCTCGTTTTGGAAGTCCTCAATGTCTTCTTTGGAGGCTCCCTCTGAAGGAACAAGTTGACAAGATGAGTCAAAGTGAGACAGAGCTACTGAGGGTATCAATCGTTCCTAAGGAGCACATTTTTCTGAATTGAGGTTATGAATTTCGTGTTAATAAATACTAATTAACAGCATAAGAGAGATATTTCTGTTTATTGGATTATTAGTGAAACCTTTTTTCAAATATGTTGGATTGGTTGTGTGTCAGATCATCAGGTATTTAACTATTGATCTAATTTTCAATTGAGTGTTGACTTCTTTTATAAAGTGACAAGAATGAAGTTCGAGAAATAGAACTCGCTTCGGCGGTACATATACTGAAATTGGAACAGTTAATGACTATTTCGAGGAGCAAGACAGTTTTCATTATAGAAACGGTACCAAACTTATTGAATGTCCATTTTTCAATTTCATTTACTGTTTTCATTGTAATAACCTTCCATTTATTATTTTCAATATTTAGTAACGACGTGAACAGTTAACATGACAACTGACACTAATGACAAGTAGACAGAGTAGAAAAAATATTGTGCTCCAAGTGAAATCCTCCAACCACTCTTGCGACTAGTTATTTTCCTCAACGAGAAGTTCTCTAATTGTCGATTCTTTCGACACCAAAACACCGTTTACCTCGCAATTGTTTCACAGCAACCTGGGTATATCCTGGCTTCATCCCTATTTCGAAAGCGACTCCGAAATAAACCTTTCCAAACGCACCCCCGTCTATTTCTCTTTTGAGTAGGATTTGGTTTCTAGGAAACTCGAAGTCGTCAAAATTGTGAGATTTCTGGAAAATAAATATTCATTATGAAAACGTTCATGCATACATTTTTCGCGGAAAATATAGTAAACACGGAATGTTTGATGATGGATACATCAAATGTAAAATAGCGATTTTTTTCTTGTGAGTGAGTTTACATTTATGTAACGGGGATCTATTTTGGTCTCTTTTAAAAATAATTTCACCTCAATATGATGAGTGAGGTATGTTTGTACCAATGACATGTATTAATATCAAATTGCACGTTTCTTCGGAAATAAATCAATCAAATACCGCTTTTATTTTTGAACGTACTTTCCACAAAGTTTTTTTGCCGATTTCCAAATTTCCTCCCAACATAATCTTCGTCTTTCTGTAAAAGACCGACTCTTCCACAAAATTTCTCTTTTTCATTGCGATAAATTTAAATTTTTTTCAACATATTTAGTTTAATCTTTCTCTTGAAGATGATCACTTGGTGATCAAAATACGTGTCGAGGTGTTAAATTAACGGTTTGGAAAAAACTCCTGTAATATTCATGTTCAAGATTACTCAAATTTTGGAATGAAAAATGCTAAATGAATTTTCGAAATGATTTCAAATAATTTCGAAAAAAATTCGAAAAAATCCTGAAAAATGTATAGAGATATTTAAAAGAAATTGAAGAATTTTTAATAGTTTCATTTTTCGCAAACTTTCAGATATTTTTAGATCTTCTTTCAATAAATGTTGAATTTTTTTTTGAATTTGATGAAAAATTACGGAAAAATTCCGAAATTTTTTTGTTAAGAAGACTTTTTTCCTAATTGGAAAAATCTTGCTGATACATGATGAACTTTCTTGAAAAACGATTCGAAATCGAAGGTATTTTATGAATTTCGTTGAGATTAGAAAAAAACAAAATGTTAATATCGCCTTGTGGAATAATTCAGTAACTTTGAACGATATTTCCACTACATGATTGAAGATTTGATTGAAATTCTGGCAAATCCAGGTAAAATAACGTTGTTTCAAGAGTTTTTTCCGTTTTAATGTCATGTTTACTGTGTCATGGTGTATATTGATTGATAAAGAACCGGTAGAACCTTCGCCAATCAGGATCAGGCAAAAACGGCCTTCGTCGACTATATCGAATCCTGAGCACACAATTTTGATGCTGACGGAATTGATTGAGTCTTGTTACGTTGGCAAAACTGCACTGATTCGGAAGGCGCTCATTTCGATTGAGTTGAAGTAATCACATACATATTACAGTTTTAAGTAGAGTCATAAAAAAGGACCTCTAATGTGTGGAATGTGAAATCACAAATCCCAATACTGTCATATGCTTGAATTTGTAGCGTTCTATTAAAGTAAACGTGTTCAATAAAGTTTCGGTCTTGTGAGCATCATAATTGTTTGACTCGAATAGGTTTATGTCAATGGATTCTAGGCGGGTTGGCTGCCTTTGTTCATCTTTCACTGCCTGAACCATTATGCATGCTGTTTTTGGCGAGTGTATTAGCTTGGGATGTGAGGGTTGAGCAAACCGGCCATCGGATGCCTGCTTCCACGTAGTCCCGCTGGATACGGGAATGACAGAATCACTTGTGATTCTGTTATTCTGTAACTGAATGGCATCCCAAGGCATCCTAAGGTGTGTGTATCCGTGCCGAGAGGATGAATGACCACAGACCATATACCCTAGACGGTTCACGTTACTTACTTCAGGTTACTTCACCTTGAATCCTTTTTTTAGTACCGATACAAATCTCAAGATGGCACTGTAAATTTGTTCTTTGGTTTTATGTCACGGACCCACATCTATTCTTGTGGTTTGTGATGTATGTCAAAAATAAGAAGAAGAACATGTGCATAATATATGAAAGATGGTCATGTGACTCATGTCACTCATGTGTTGTCTCTTCCATACGAGGTTCCTGCTGTCTTCTGGCCAAAGTCGTTTCTACCATCGCTTTGGAGTAGCCATTCCGTTGAAGATCATTTTTGATGATGTCTAGTTCCTTCTCGAGACCTTCTTTCGTATTACAGAGCCAAAAGCACGGTCTAATAGAGTCTTGATAATTCCTCTTTTAGTTGATTGATGGTGGTTGGATTCGTGGTTCAGATACTGTTCCGTATATGAGTGGGAGTAGGAGAAAATTCCAGGAAGCCGCATACATGTTGTCCAACAACGTATTCAGCCAAGCCAGCGTAGAAATACGCAACATATGGAAACCCATCATCAAGCGAAAAAAATGGCCAACTCCCGCCAAAACGGTCATCTCCCACGGAACCAGTGAAGCGGAAAATGGAAAGCGGGGATAAGTGAAAGTACTCGATTGACCTATAAATAGTCATCTCTCGGAGGAATCAGTCCAGTCATCACCCGAAGACGATTGTAGATACTAACAATCGAAACGTCGTGAACTAACGTGACTTGGAATCTCTCCATTTTTTATTTTTATTTTCTTTTTTCATTTCTTTATTTTTATTTATTCAATTGTTCTATTTTTACTTGTATTTTATTTCACTATTATTTCATTTCAGGTTTATTTTGGTTAATATAATTGTTGTTTTCAGCTATTCATTTTCAATTCTTCTTTTCTAGTTGTTTCAGGGATTTCAAATCATTTTATATAGTAGACAATGGAAGTCCGAACTGGTGTAATTCATATACTTTGTGCTTGCCCCGCTGGGGACCGAATCAGGTTTTTAGAGTTCGACAGAGCCTATTTGGTCGAGTGTAAATATGTGTGAGCCACAATAAACCCTTGCGGGTTCCGGTGGGGGGTCGAATAGACCCACTCACTTTGGACCTATATTCTATAAAAAAATTATATTTTACGTTTTCCTCAAATTCTGGGATATCAATTGATATCAGTATTAGTATTTTCTGTTATTGAATACATACCTTAATAAAATCATAACGACCGTAGAGTGGGTTGATCTCCTCTCTCAAATTTCTGTAAAAAATAGCATTTTAATCACCTATATTGAAATGATATGATAGAATTAGCCGATATTTGGTGAAAATTCATGAGTATTCAAGGGACACTTAATTTTGAGGTTTTCACTGAACAGTTTATAAAACCGCAACGAGTGTTTCACTATATATACAATTACTTCATCAGACGGGCGCATACTGACCAAATTCTACCTAATCAGTGCTTTATGTAATATAACAATTTGAATCGTATGACCTTTTTTATTCTGTCGAAGTAATAAATGATTATTATGAATGCAAAACACTAACACAGAGCTCAAACAAAATGTTGTGGAATCGTTATAAATTATCACAGCTGTAACACATGGGCTGAAAAATTCCAGTGCTAAGAAAAAAAAATTATTTTTTTTCTCGGCTTTTCAATTAATTTATTTATTGATTATCCGTTTGACATATAAGTATGTATAGGATTTGTCCAGCGATTAAGAACACATTAACACATAATATAAAATACAATACAAAAGAAAACCATTTTATGATATAAAAAATTCGTCTAGGTTATAAAAACAACTATCAATTGAATACTTTTTCAGATTTCGGGTAAATTCAGTAATTTTATTGAGCTCCTTAATATCTTTTGGTAACTCATTAAAGATATTTGGCCCCATCACATAAGGTGAATTAGAAGTAACCTTATATTTACAATACTGTATGTGGAAGTTATATTTTTGACGAGTATTGCTACTATGTGTTATTTCATTGGTGATAAATTTATGTTTGTTTTTAAAGACAAAAATTGACAATTCGAATATATACATGCTGACAAGAGTTGAAATGTTAAATTGTCTAAATAAACTTCTGCAAGAGGCCCTTTTTGAGGCTTTGGCCATCATTCTCAAAATATACTTCTGCGCAACGAATACATTTGATATCGAAGTCGAGCTACCTTACATACATATGCCATGTCTCAGTTTGGAAGCTACTTGAGCACGGTATAGTGCCAAAAGTTGCTGATGTGTCAAGATATCTGTTAGGTTTCTAAAGAGATAACCTAATGAGTTAATTTTACTCGTTAAATTCGAACAGTGTTGTTTCCATGTCAAACATCCATCAATGGTAGTTCCCAAAAAATTTGTCTCTTCTTTTCTCAGAATTTACATGTTCTTAATTTGAAATTGAATAGGCACCCAATGTTTTTGTCGATTGTGAAATCTAACCAAATGTGTTTTGTTAGCATTGAGATAGAGATAATTAGCACCACACCAGTTCATAACAGATTGCAAAGTATATTAACATTTGTCTAAAAGTGAGTTTTCATCCATGTCAGATACTATTAAAGACGTATCGTCGGCATACATTGTTGAAGAAATATTCCTAATGTGATTTCGAATCGTTTGTATATAAAAGGAAGAATATAGGCCCTAATACCGATCCTTGCGGAACACCCATTGAAATATTTAACAAACTTGAATTACATTTATCATAAGTACTCGTACTGTGTTACTAATTGTAACATATTGTTGCCAAATGAACCAAGCTTGGTGAGATTTTGATTCGATGTGGTTGTCGCCTTTCGGAATATAATTTTGAATACATTTCCGATGTTCTAACACTGTTTCTATCGTATTTGTAATAAATTTGTATCATATCTCTTTTTTCTTCATTCGTAAAAGCCATTTTTCGCCAAAAATCTAATGACTTGTTAAATAACAAATTGAAAGATATATTTAGAAACATCAAAGTCTAAGCCTCTTATGATGAAAATTATTTTTTTTCAATATCTCCGATTTTTCGATAAATAATGATAACTTCTGATACATCATTGAAAAGGTGAAATCTGGTTCATACAAAACAGAAAGAATCCAATATAGCGCCCATAAGAAAAAATAAAGTTGAGTATGGTGACCGGAAGACGAAACGTCGGATAGCAAATCTGAGAACACCATTATGTAGCAGCAAAAAAGTGGCAACGTGGAAGTGCAATTTATTTTTGAATCCTTCGAAAAATAAAGCGAGAAAAAAATAAAAATAATTTTCCGAAATTTCAGTTTTTTCCGGATATCTCGGGATATACTCGGAATTTCAGGACTTTCTCAACGTCATATTGTTAGTGAGGTAAATGCGCAACTTTGTCCCAATTCAACCATCTTCGTATCTCTCACAGTTTCCGAGATCCCAATAGTGAGGATCGAATTTGAGACACCCTGTATACAATAATAAGGTAGAATTCACTCACTATGGGCACGCCTGATGAAGCTACAGTGAAAGACGTGTACACTGTTCAATGAAAATCTCACAGTGAAGTGTTGATTGAAACATTCAACCAGAAAATTCTTGGATAAAGTGAAATACTCGGATATCAAAAGTTAGAAAAGTTAATAAGAAAAAAAGGCGAGCCAGATATTAAATACGTTGTTTCGAAAGTTTTGACCGTTTTAATGTCATCTGTTTTTGTAGCTCCATATCTCTTTAAATGATTATTCTACTGTGTACATTGATGCTGTTAATTTTTTCCATACGAGGATCACATCAGGGGAAATCGACGAAATGTATCGGAAATTGCGTCAGCAGCAGTCGGCACTGGTCAACAGAAGAGGTCCGATCTTGCACCACGACAACACCCGTCCGCACGATCCACAAATCACCGTCTGAGCCCACGATTTTCATGCTGATGGAATCAATCGAGCTGTGTTACGTTGGCAACAATGCACTGATTCACTTCGAAAAGTATTCAAATTGATGTTTCAAATGTTGGGTTTTAATTTTAAAATGGATTTGTTTCTAATTCACATATTGGCAACATCGCCTATATCAAGTTGAGATAATTTGTACGTACCCAGGTATTCTGCTTTAAAAAAGAAAAATTATCTTTATAAATCAACAAATAAGGCAAAATATAAATTATAGTTCAATACCACCTCCACAAGCCACATAAACAACAGTTGTTTTGTTATTTATTTATATAGAAGAAGATAGGCTAGGTGCACAAAATGTCATAATATGTCACAGAATGTCTTGGAACTCGGTAAATAAGTAAACAGAATAGCACGCCTCTGAAATATGTCATCTTTGTTTGTCTCATACAGGTAACAGATTCATTGTCCTTTATTAGCTATAACTGATGTTGCCAAATGGTGAAATAGAAAAGAATCCCTTTAATAGTTGAATGCATCATTTCATTCTTTTTTTTTCAAGTATTTAAATAATTTTTTAAAGAAAAAGGTTGAAATGATAAGTTTAAAATGCGTTGTTTTAGAGGTATTTTATGAAAACTACTTGATTTTCGTCGGGAGGAACATTCCCAATTGAATGGATATTCATTGGGATATTACAGTTCAAAGTAGATTCCTAAGAACGGACAAAACTTTTCAAACAACCCAATAAATGGTTGGTAAGAAAAATGTAACTCACGCGAATGACACCGTTTTAACCATCGTCAGTGGATTTCCTTGGAATGCGAAACAACTCAGGTACATTCTCAACTTTGTTCGCAATTTGGGAGAGTATCTGACGACAAAGATCAGGGACAAAAGGGTTAGTATGATGAAGAGAACCAAACCTGTCGTGAGATATATTGCTATTCCTTTGCCTGGAACTGAAACAAAAAGACATCACATGTTCCATTGTGCTTGGAGAAAATATGTCAATAATCTTGACTCTAGTCAATTTGAGATTGAATTAAAATAAAGCAATGGATATCCAAGCAGCTTAATTCAGTTTTCCCTATTTTTTTTTAAGTATTCGGTAATATTGCATGGGATGTATTAATACACTTTTTCCTTTTCAAAAACTGATAATTACGAATCAAGTTTTTTTGTGATTTATTAAGCATATTACACAATCTCTTGAAATAATCCTTTACACAGCCGAACAAGATGTTTATGATCTGTGACTTTGTAACCTCAAAATAGATATCTTTGCAAGTAAAAATGTTTTGATTCCAAACTAATGATTAATAAAAGCAGCTCATAATTCCATTTTTGTGGGACTACTTTTTGTTGGGACACTTTACCGTTTCATTATGATTCAAGATGAATAAAGAGTTTGCTAAAGTTCGGTAGATAGACCTTTCAATGTGACATTTTCAACTTGTATTAATCCAATAAACCATTGGGACACACAGACAATTGACAGATGCCGCCATTTTAAAAGAAATAGTCATTCGTGCTAATCGAATGGTCTAACAATGTACAGGGTATTATTCAAAGTTCTTGAATTGGGTTTTTCCATTAAACATATTGGCTTCACTGAACTATAGATTCTCTTCGAATTTCAAATTTCTTACAGAAAGTACTGAATGATACCGTGTGCAATGACTTCATTGTAGGCCGGTATAGAGCGCAAGTTTTTTGGTTTTGAAGGTATATGGGAAAAACCGGAAATTTCGAAATTTAATTTTTGCTGTACCTTCTTCATTTGCAGGAATATTGAAAATTTGTTTATATTTTTTATAGCATCCTTCAGTATACAATCAGAATTCAATGATACAATTTTCATACAGGATGTTGCTTGATGTGAGGCATCCTCAATGTAGAAATTTTGAATACGGGCCTGCATTTTTAGTAGAAATTTTCGGTGTATGATGTTCATATACTGTCGAATTAAAGTTTTTCAATGTTTTTGATATCCCAGAGAGTTCAATCCACAATTTTTTATGTATCGCCACTTGCTCAACTTTCAAAGTTTCAAAAAAACATTAATTTTGATTTTCAGCTCTCGCAATGTTTATACGTGATTGTATCATCAAAAAAAAATTATGTTTACAGTTTCAATTGATCTCGAACTGTAAACCAATTTTACATTACTAATTGTTACTATTCTAAAAACTTGTTTGGAATATTGAGAATACCCGAAATGAAATTAATATGTACGCCACTGTAGATTTGCTGTAGATTTGCTGATGAGGAACCAAAAAAATGTATAGTGAAACGAATGGACGATTCTTTCTCACCTGTAATATTCATTGAAGAAAAGTATATACATTCGTTGTATTTGTCTATGAATTTGATGGTTATCCTGTAAGATATCTCTTCTCTCAAATCGGGTAAGTGAACGTCCACCGTGTCATTTTCAGGGGAGGAGGTCACGGCTGGTATGAAGGTTCTTTGTGTACTGTTCACTCTCTCACTGAAACAAACGAGTTCAGTGTAAATGAATAGAGGAGGCGATGGAGGATTCGAGTCAAAATTTCAGTACATTTCCAGTGGCGTATATATAAGAGGGTTCCCAGAGGGTCTGGACATCATAGAAGTGATGCATTTGAAAATTCGAATGAAGGTTCAAATATTTCAAAATTGTATAATCCCAATATTGATTGATCATTATATTTTTATCAACTCACTAACAGTTAGTAAGTTATTTACTGAAAATTGTTTTTAAAAAAAGAAAATCTTGAGTTACTCTACATCTACAGTATTATTTTCTTGGAATGTGGATTAAGAGATACCCCACAAATCCGTTGGACGATGAACAATATATAACTTACTAATACACTTCATCGATTGTCATATTTTCTGCAGTGAGCCTCTTCCATTTGATGCGAAAAATACCATCTCGCGTAGGATTAATTTGATCCAGTTTATACGGAGAATTTCTGGCATCTCTGCATCTACATTTGCTTTCCACACATTCTGAAAAATAAATTTGATTACAAGGAAGGTGAAGTTGATATTCAGGCTGAACTTCCACAAGTAGGATGGAAGAATTTCACTTGTATGTACATTAAGGTTACCAACGAATCAAAGGAGCATTTAGGACATCGATCTCACTTATGTGAGTTAGGAAACTATCGAAATGACTATCAAGAACAGACTGGAAATAGAGCTGGAAAGTAAAGGAGGCATATCAGAGGCGCAGTACGGTTTTAGAGCCAACAGGTCGGTTGTGACAGCGATGAACCAAGTTATATCAAGAGCGACGCAAGGTAACACTACGTGGGGGGTTGTCATATTGCTGGACGTCAAGAATGCATTTAATACTGCAAAATGGCATTTGATAATGAACAGATTGCTAGATCTGGGGGTGAGTAACTATTTACTGGCAGTAATGAGCTCATATCTAAGCAACAGAACCCTCCAGAAGGGAAAATATATACGAGACATGTCGCAGGGGGTTGGGATCTGTGGAATGTCCTGTACGACGGAGTGCTGAGGCTGAATATGCCGGACAGGTGTGACACAGTACCTTACGCAGATGACCTTGCAGTAGTCATTAGAGCCAGAAATAAACAGGATCTAATGCGGACAGGAAACGGTGCGATGGAACTCATAAACCGTTGGATGGACGGAAATGGACTGGCAATCGCACCTCACAAAACTGAGGCAATCATATTGAAAGGTCCTAGAAAGAGAGAAGATGTATTCTTCAGGCTGCAAGGAACGCAAGTCGAGTGTAAAAAATATGTTAAATATTTAGGCGCGTATTTGGATGACAAAGGTATATGGCATGAGCAGGTTAGGAAACTATGCGAGAAAGCGGATAGGCGATGTATGGGGTAGTTAAGTCCGTGCTTCTGTTCGCAGCCCCGATATGGGGTGGGGTAATGCGTGTGCAGAGGTACAGGATGATGATAACCTCGACGCAGAGAAGAATTTCACTGAGAGTGGCAATGACTTACAGAACGGTCTCTGCAGAGGCAATAAACGTATTAGCGGCGATTCCACCCATTGACCTATTGGTAAGGGAGCGTATCAGGCTGGATGCTAGACACTTCGTAGATGAAAGCGCAAAGAGGGAGGAGAGGCAGACAACTATAGCAGAGTGGCAGGAAAGATGGCAACGCAACATTGTAAAAGCCCAATGGACCAAGCGCCTGATCCCGGATATAGGCAGATGGTGGAGGTGTAAGTTTAAAAAGACAAATTACTTCATAACACAAGCTCTCAGTGGACATGGGTCTTTTAGAGCATATACATGAAAGATAGGAAAGACAACAGACAGCAAATGCGCTTACTGTCCCGAGAGTAATGATACGCCCGAGCACACTCTATTTGTATGCCCTAGATGGGAAAGGGAGAGAAATAATCTAGAGATGGAAATAGGAGAAATAAATCCTGACAACCTGAGATCATAACTTACCAGGTACTTCGTATTCCAGTCTTTGAATTTCGGTGGGATAGTTTCCATCTTCTAAGGCTATGGTATACTTGCAACCATTGATCAAATAGTCTGCAGGTCTTTCGAAATCCAAGCTTGGTACTATTACGAAATTGTTCTGAAACAGACAGAAAAACAGTGTGTGGTTTGGTATAAAACTATCGAAGGTTTTAGCATTGCCAGAGATAACTGGATTTTATCAAAAAAATTGTTAACAGTTCGAAGGTTGACATTATCGACTCTATGCTTTCCAAAAACTACGAAAACAAGTCACGAATTAGGTTTATCCCACTTCCAGAAATAATAGAAAATTGACACGCATGTTTTTTTTAAAGAAAGACGTTTACAATGAAGATAAAACTTCAGGTCGGATAGATTAGGCGTATATGAGTTGACTTGTGGCTTTTACCCAAAACTTTATATTGGTCAAACGGGGATACTCTTTTTCCAAGGAATGAAAGAACACAGGAGTAGTTTATTGAATGTGATGAGCAATTCCACATTTGCAAAATATTTTTTGGCAGGGGAGCATGGTAGAATTTGCACTATATAAAAAACCAGAAAAGAAATAGAGATGTCAAGTTCATTTGTGAGCAAATAGCTTTTCATTTGTGACGTTCTGGTTTTTCATTGATATATAAAAACAACAACAAAAACAAAAAGAAATAAAAATATCGGGAAAAATTCGTTCTGTAAACAAATAATGTGTTTTTTCAGATACAAATTGAACAAAAAAAACTATTCAAAACAACATTTTTCACTATGAACATTGTCATGTTTTCTTCCCTTTTCGAATCTTGATCTGGAGGCTCGCCAGATGATCTAAAAAGAATGTTGCGAGACTGTTTTGGAAACAGATGGATTGCTACAAAAGGTCTTGTTAAGTGGCCTCCTCGTTTACCAGACCTCTAGATTTTTATTTTTGTGGAATTCTGAAAAATGAGGTGTACAGAATGAAACATAATAATGTAGATGAATTGGAAAAATATACTGAAACTATAATTAATACAATTGATCGCCAAATTTTGTTGAAAGCAACCTGTAGTGTCAAGAGAAGGGCTCAAATATGTGTTCAACAAGAGGGCGTTGTTTTTGAATATTCACTCGATATTTTATAGCTCATTATTCGTCAAAACAAAAAAAAATTAGTACTAGTGAAAGGTGACATGACCTTTGTTGTTGAGAATGTTATTACGAATCGCAATGCGTGACAGAATATGGGGTGTTCTAGTTAAAAAAATATCATTATATGGAATATTTTGAAAACGCGACTGTCAATTTTTGTTTTGTTTTCGGCAACGAGAAGGCCATCAAAAATGCTGCTAGTTGGCCCATTTAACCGAAATCGTAGCATAACGGAGTTGGAAATGGTGCAAACTTAATTTGGAACACTCTGTATACGAGGTCTCTTGAAAAAAAGGTGGATTTTCATTTCTGTAAAAAAATATTGATTTATTCATTTATTTCTAATTTGTTCCCATCAAAAGACCTTCAGATATAATACACTTGTTCAGAGAATCAGTGATGAATTTATTGATTTTTACCAAATTTCGAATATCTTCAATATTTTCCGAGATATTTCCAAAAAACCAAATTCTCCTTTTTTTACTAAATTGTTTGTAACTTTTACAATTTTTTCGAGCCCCTCTTGAAAATTTTCAAAAAGTTGCTAGAGGTCATTCCGATTTGAATGAGCCCCGGATCATTATTTTCGGTGCCCTTAGACAGAAGTTCCAAGTACAATCACCGTACGCCACTGTCAACATCTCACCTGATGATAATTTTGTGTTCCATTTTTTTATAGCAGAAAATCGCCGAACCCGCAAAACGCTTCTAATTTTTATGCCTCTCACCAACAAACGGAACATGTCATCGAAAGAGTGTTGTAATATTTTAAACGGCATTTTTATACAGTGATAATTGTATAAGTTTTGTTTCTTGGTTAATTTTTCATCCAGCTCATGACGTGGATATTATCGATACTGACATTTTCTTTCAATTCGGATCTATGAGCTAGGAAAAAACATTAATTTGTTTATGAAAATCAGTCGCTACTTTATGAACTGCTTGCTTCTAAAGAATTCAGGTCGAACAGTCTTTGAGATATGATCTAAAGTCTAATTATAATTTTTAACGATAACAAATTACTTCACTGAGACAAGTTATTTGTAAAACCCATCTGGGATGTTAAAAAATATTGAAAGGTTACAGATATCGGTGAAATACTTCACTCATCGCACCAAAAAAGAAATATAAATACAAATGCATCCGGTGCCAATCGTCATTATTTGTGGAATATTCGAATCGACAATGAAAAAATCGCTATTGTCAAGCGAACTAATTGGAATTTTATGGAAGAATAAACGAATCCATGAGCATTTACTTTTCCCATTCGGAGTTGCCCATTTTTGGTCCTATTATATTGTCCACGAATATTTCAATAATATTCGTACTCGACTCAAAGTAATTTATTTATTCATTTATTTATTTATTTACAAACTCTACAGACAATTGCTCAGTTACAGAGTAGGAAAGGTACATATCATAAATAGATTTGTACATACAACAAAATAACAAAAAAGTTATAAAAAAATATTCAACAAGAGTTATACAATTTCATACAACCTATTTCTAAAACTAGTAAGATTTTGGAAGAAGATATCAAAGTCATTTTATACATTATTATAGGCATTGCACATTTTTCATTTAATGGAGCATTTTGATAATAATTTGTTCTTGCCAATTCAATATAAAATGTGCGAACAATCGTTTTTCATAAGCAGGTACTTTGGAATTGATTTTTGACAAAAGACAGGGATCATTCACTTCACTATGTATCTTGTAAAAGTATATTAAGTATGCAAACACTCTTCTTTTCTCGAGGGTTTGTATGTTGTACATTTCAAGTAGCACTACTTTGGAAATATCAAGGTCATAGTTACCTGTTTCTTGGAAGTGAAGATATCTCAGGAACTTGTTTTGAGGATACCAGATAATGGAAGCATATTCCAAAATGCTTCTAATGAGAGAGATATACAAATGTTTGATGAAGATAATATTGTTGAATTGCCTAATAGAGTTGCGAACTACAAACCCATACAACTTTGAGGCCTTGTTTGTTATATTCAGTATATGAGATCTAAATGATAATTCATAATCAAAAGTAACACCAAGGTATGTTATTTCTCGAGTTCTGTTGAGTTTTATACCGTCCATCTCGTAGCTGTATGTTATACTGACTTTTTTCGGAAGAAGGTCATAGTATTACACTTTTGAACGTTGAATAACAATTTGTTCTTTTTTGACCATTCAACGATGTTATTTATATCTTTTTGTAGATGTACACAATCTTCAACTGTTGATATTCTCCTAAAAATTTTCAAGTCATCTGCAAACAACAAGTAGCAAGATGACGTGATATTTTTTACAAATCTGTTAAAATAAATAACAAAGGACCCAAGTTGGAACCCTGGGGAACTCCAGCCGATGCAATAAATGGACTGGATTTATGCCCTTCTACTATCACACTCTGTTTTCGATTACATTACATAGATATGAACTGAAATATTTCATTAGGTTGGGATGGGAACCAAAATCATATCCTAGGGTTCTTAGAAGAATTGGATGTGAGACATTATCGAAAGCTTTAGCATAGTCGGTGTATATAATGTCCACTTGAGCACGACTATCCAAGTTTTCAGCTATGAATTGGGTAACACTGCTAAGATTACTAACAGAGGATCGTTCTTTCATGAAGCCATGTTGGAACTGTGATATTTTTAGAGAAACTAATCTATAGAGATGCTTGACAATGACACTCTCGAAAAATTTGGCTGGTGCTGATTACATTACCACCAGATGTCAGGAAATGTTTTGCTTCTCAAGGACCCGTTAAAGATAGTTTTCAATGGATATAACAAAAAGTCGACAAGATCTTTGAATATAAATGGTGGTATATTATCAGGCCCAATCGATTTTTTACCTTCAAACATCTAGCTGCTGAACCATCAACACAGTCATTTGTATAAACTGAACTGAAGTGTTTTGCAAAGGCATTAGAAATATCAATGCCATTGGTATGCCATTGGTATACCTGGTATGCCTATGTTGCTTTGTTTACTGTTTACATACTGTGAGTATGATCTAGAATTACTAATACTAATTTCCTGCTGAACCCTGCTTAGATTCAATGTGTGAGCTGAATTGATGTAATTTTTCAATTTCCTTCTCAAATCGCGAAATTTCTGTGCTAATTCATTGCTACTGTTTTGTTTGTTTTTTACTTTAATATCTCTTATTATTTGTCTGATGAACCATAGGGGGTACTTTTTATTTTTCTTACATTTGGGAATACAAATATTGAAAATTTCATTAATTTTACTGAGTCGTATGTGCTCAATTTTCTTGGATGCCTTCTCTTACTTGTTCTGTGCCTGACCACCGTGAAATCAGAACCTGGAACTGCATCAGCTGGATTTGAATTATAGCTGGAGGTGCTAACACGTTGAGATGTTTGTTTGGGTTTGGGATGTCAGATGTCAACTGTCGTATCGTTGACATGTCTATAATGTGCAAGCATAATGTGAACAACATCAATTTTTTTCAAGAACGTCAGTTATTCCTTCTCCACCCCTTCTCAAAGGTAAAAAATGTTTCGTTGAAACAGAAAATGAATATAGTTACTAATTCTGAGCAAATTTTGTTCCTTATGATGCACTGTTTGGAACCTTTGGTGTAGTAATGAATATTACTGAAGTTTTTTCCCAACACCAAACCGTTATTTCAACATCTCGACACGTGTTTCCATCACCAAGTGATCATCTTCAAGAGGAAGATCAAAGCGTTTGATCTTTTGAATCAATTGATATAGACGTTTTTGATATGAAGATACATGAACATTTCTGAAAATTCAGTGTCATTTTATGGTATTGAAGCCATAAAGATATTTGATCAAGGTCTTTTGAAGTATTAATTTCTATTAAATAGAAAGGGCTATATTTTTTAGAGTGACTAATTTTTGGGAAAGACAGTTTTTGGCTTTCTACTACTCCATCTTGATACATCAAGATGCAGCAGTAGAAAGCCAAAAACTTTGTTTACTTGTAAACTATCTCCATTGTAAATGAAAGTGGTATCTTCAGCAAACATTTGTAGCTTACTAAATAAATTTATTGTAGCCAAAGAATTGAAATATATAATAAACAAAACAGGTCTAAGTATTGATCCTTGCGGTACCCCACATATGTTTTTTTTTGCAAACTAATCATGTCGCCAATATAGACATATTGCTTTCTGTTCATTAAATAATTTTAAAACTAATTATAAACTGAATCTCTGATAACTATATTATGCATTATTTTCAGAGGAATTTCATGGTCCACAGGGACTACTCTGAGTGGATGAAATCGACGAATAAATGAATATTTTTTGAGATGTGTGAAAATTGACGTAGTTTTTTTACAGACGACGTACATCTGCCAAGATACCATGTTCAAGTAACTACAAATTATGTAAAGCTTCAGTAGTTGTTCTTTTCAAAACTTTGGCGCACCCAGTATATCCACAGTTTCATCGACTTTTAGATACTCACCGATCTTAAAGAATATTCCTCAATATCGTTGATGGGATTACAATTTTCGGTGTTCATAAACCGTATGGAAACGATGTCGACATCTCCTGAAAATAAACAAGATGTCTGAGCGTGATTCTGATAGTAGGTGATATATAGTTCGCACATTCGTACATAGTGGCGTAAACTGCTGAATTTGACGTATTCTAATAACGCAATTTTAATTTTTTGTTCGACCTATCAACGATTTGTATCGTTTGGTTCATTTGTTGTAGAGAGTGGTTGTCACATTTTTTCAGAAGTTACTTTTTCAGATGCGTATGTAATGCGTCATGAAATGTATCTATCAGGTAAGGATAATGAACCCTATACGGCTACCTTGTTTTATAATTTTTTGTTTCTCTATAATCCGAATATGAGTAATACATTTGGCAAAAAATTACATCTATTTACTAGATGGTATAATCTCCTCATCACGCTACAATGGCAAAACGTAAAGTCATTCATACAGTTATTTCATTTATTTCTTGTTACACCTGGTTTATTGCATTGAAATATCCAGAAGACTTTTCAGAAGATATAATAATAATAATAATAATACGTCTTTATTCACCATAAAAATACAAATGGAATAGACAAAAATAAAATAGAACAGAATACAGGAACAATAACAAAAACAAAGAAAAAAAAAACTTCCAGTATATGGTGAATAGGCGGAGTATCAGCCAAGGCTGTTTTTCAACTCAACCTGGGAGAAACTATAGATAAATAATATGAACACAAGTCGAGTTAACAATATCAAAAAATTTTAGTTATTGCTTTACTTTAGAAAATTCATTTTAGAAATGCCAAGGTCGGGAACGGGCAAGAGGCTAATGAGATAAATAAGTCTTCAGTCTTTTTTTAAGATAAAAGTCACAAATATACAAGCTAAAAAGCAAGGGCCCAAGGATAGATCCTTGTGGCACTCCCTTCAATACTGGCAGAGAAAATAATTCCAGAAAAAGTTACCTTGAATTTCGTTCCATGACATGTTGAGACGAATGTAGTCCAAAGGATCAAGATACGGTTTTATAGATACGTTTACGAATGTCATACCTGAAAACGTCAAAAATGTTTCGAGTTATTTGTTAATTAACAAAATGTGTTAATTCATTCGAATAACTACAGCTTGCCAAATCTAGGAAGCGTCTTCAAAGTCTCGGCTTAAGACGTCCCCTAAGATACGCGTTCGTTAGGAGACTGTGTGTGAGAGAGAGAGGGAAACAGAATTCTCAAGTCTCTTTCTAGTTTTGATAAGCTATAGATTATCTTATTTCGTATATTCATAGTATTAAACTATAAATAATCTTTCAATATTGTCAAAGCATGTTTTTGACAACATTTTTGAAATTACAGTGAGTTCCTGAAGAAAATATCAAGGAAATGAGGCAAAGAAGGGTCTGATTCTATCTTTTGTTATTGTTGAAATATACATTTAAATTTCTTTTAGCGCCACTGATATAGTAGTTATATCAAATTTGGCAACTACGTAATATAGAAAAGAGTAGTCGTCATCTCCACGGCAATGTACAAAAGTCTCGTTTATGTATTGAGATCAAATAAACTTAATACTTTCTTTGAAATTGAACTGTGACTCATTTGATCATCAAAAACAACTTCTACATATTTATAATTTCTCAATTACATCTCGTACATTCTCAAAATACCCAGTTGTTGTCTACAGATTTAGGATGTGTTAGATTTCTCAAGAAAAAACTCAAGACACAAGTGTGGCCCATCCACTGCTATACAGTAGATGGTACACCAACACTTGATGTCCCCCAATAACTTCATAAATTTTGTATTCACCTGGTAAAACTGTAGATGATGATTCATCAGCAAAAACCTGCAAAAAAGTTACATATTACATTCCGAATCTAAATCAAACCTCTGATATGAAGCAGACTGGGATTTCGTTGAAAATCCAACTAAAGTACATTTCCATAATAGTAGGCACTGAATTCTCATGAATTCTATTCAATTAAAACGAAAACATTGTGGTTTCTATATATTTTATCATCATTTTTCATCATCTGTTTGGTATGACTTCCGTACGCCACTGCAAGAAATAGATTAGGGCGAAAACGTGAGTCATTTCTGAGAATTTAGTGCCTACTTTTTCGGAATTATAGAACAGTACATTTCTTTACTATGAAAATTATCTTACCCTGTATAGAAGTATGACAAGAAAATAGCAAAAGACGAACATTTTTCGGATCAGAGTAAGTCGTTTTTGAAGTGTTTAATCCTCGTTCTGGCGGTTATCGTCATTTTCACTTCCACTGGAGAGCCTGAAAAAAATTGAAAATGAATCAAAGAGCATTCGACAGGAGTAGTACAGTTACTATTGTTTTTTGGATATTCCTATTTTAAGCTCGAAATTTGAAGTTAAAAGCTTCAAGTATTAGCTTTCTCCATGACTTTCCGGTTTTTAAATTGGCACATCCGCATTGTGAACTGTTAATTCAGGTACTCAATACTTCCTGAATGGATACACTCACCCTCCCTACTCTACAGTAACAGATACAGAACATTCTATCGTGATACAATGTGTATGTCGATTCCATCACAGAATTATTATTGAATTATTTTTTATGAAATTTGGTACACTATCATTTGAGAGGGTGCTCAGTCCAATGGACTTTAACTTTTCCTAAAAAAATCGCTAATACGATTTCTTGTATTTTAACCTATAAAAATATTGGCAGCGGGCCTTGCTTTTGTGGAAAGAAAATGATGTTTGGTCCCAAAGTACAGTTTTTTTAAGTCTACCATTCAAAATGAAGTTCTTCGAAGTCGTAGAGAAGGTACAAATTTCAGGGAGGTTTCTCAATCATTTGTTATTCTATAAAAAAATACACGGTTGCCAAAAAAATTGTGTAGGGAAAGGTGGGGGAATCACAGACGCGGGGTGATCGCGGACGTGTATGAACTATATTAGAAAAAAATTAAAGAGATTCCGAGTGGTGCAATCGTGAGTCCATCCCACACGTAGTGCCGCACAATAAGTGGTGAAGTGACGACGCGCTCGTTTTACAAGGTATGTTTATTTAAATATTTATCAACAATTTCATATATATTTTTTACTAAATTGAATAGGTGTTTAATATTTCAGGCATTACATAGAAATATCACATTATTTTTTCTTATTAATGTATCATTCAACAATGTTTTTAGGGAATAACCACGTGAACCACGCTATTCTAACCTCAAATAAAAATATTGGTTTGTGGTATTGTGTGTGTCGGATAATGGCGATTAATGGTGATTTTAGGGGGTAATCCCAGCTATCCGCAATTACCCCTATACACCGTATAGTTCATATAGCTTATTTTATATCCTTTTTTCATTATATATCCTTGTTTTCTGCCCTGCATCTATGTGAAATTGTAAATGATGTATTTTAAAATATACCTATGTTTAACTGACTATATTTCAGATGCCACGAAATTACCAAAGAAAGACTGAGACCAAATACAAATTAGAAGAAAGAAAATGCTATTCAGGATGTTAAAAGTAAAACACTTTCATTTGGAAAAGCAGCGGCTATTTAATTTATTCCGAAAAGTAGTATACACTACTATCTCAAGAAAAAAGTTATAAAGGAGCCAAAAACTGGCAGAAAGGTTATATTTTTTGAAGAACAAGAAAGAGACTTAGAGGACTTTATCATGAAATGCAGTAAATTATTTTATGGTTTGACTATAGAAATGGTACGAAAAATAGCATTCAAATTTGCCCAAGTGAATAATTTAAAGCATAATTTTGACAAAACATCTCAAATGACAGGAAAATACTGGTTCTATGGATTTAAGAAAAGGCGCCCTAATATTTCACTACGTGAACCACTTCTATCAGTGGAGTTACAGCTTTGAATGAAACAGAAGTGATAATGTTCTTCAATAATTTGGAAATTTTACAAACCAAACACCTCTTTGATGCCAATCGAATAGGTATACAATGTGGACGAGACAGGTATATCCAATGTCCAAAGAAATTCAAGGATTTTAGCACCAAAAGGCCAGAAACAAGTCGGTATGGCAACAAGTGGTGAAAAAGGTACTACAACGACAATTGTCTGCGCTTGAAGTGCTTCAGGAAAGTATATTCCTCCATTTTTTATTTTTGAGAGGAAGCGTATGAATGCTCAGTTGTTACTTGGAGGCAATCCTGATATGATAGCAGCCGTAAGTGATTCAGGTTGGATGAACGAGAACTTATTTGTAGATTGGTTACACCACTTCATATCTTTTGCTAATCCAACAGTTGTAAATGAAGGTGATAGAAAGAAAAACCAGTATTATTGCCTAATTTGTGATGAAAAGTATGAAGATCCCCCTAATGAAGACTGGATAAAATGCTACAAATGTAATTTATAAGCCCACGAAAACTGTACGAGTCGTGAAAGTACATCACGAGGCTTTGTTTGTGATCTCTCATCTTATTAGACTATGTTCGTAATTACCCCATAGACCATCCGCAATTACCCCAGGTGTTGTGGGGTAATTCCGGAGTCTAATGTTTTGTTTTTGTAATAATATTTTATTTTATATGGAACATTTATCTACGTTGATTATGCGAACATAAGATTGATTAGTTTTAGTTCACTTTTAGTAATAAATAGCATTTATAACCTTACCTGGTTTTGTTCAATTTCAGTTCTTCTTTAGGTGTTCGCAATTACCCCACTCTCCCCTATGCAATTCGCCCGAAAATAGTTTTTTTAGACTCGCAGACTTACAGAATTTTGTCTACTCATCCAAACCACGTGAATTTTTTCGGACTTGTTACGTAAATTTCTTCAGATTTCTTTTTATAACACTTGTGGTCCGAATTTTTATGAGAAAAATGAACAATGAATGAGAAGAGCTGCAAACACGTGTTTTTAATAAACAAAATTTCATATTTCCTCAAATATTCATCATATTATTCACCTGAAAAGTCAAAACGTGGAAAATATCGCCTACAAAAAAATTTACCTGTTTTTGAATGTTGGTGATCAAGAAACTGATATTGTTCATGTCGCCACTTAAAAAGAACCAAGCGAACTTTCCGCGAAAATTTGTTCACCCATTTCACTCAAGAAACATTCGTACAACTGTTGCTGGAGTTGGTGTTGTACATGAATTTTCAGCAACTATGGCGTCATATTTGGCGTTTACATTCCATGTGCAAACAAAACATCTCGCATCTGGCCTTCACAGTCCAGGATCGTAAAAAGTGAAAAGAGATATTATTGAAAACAATCGAATCGCTAACAGAAGACTGAATGACCAAATTGAATTGAATACTTCCCTCTTGCTGAATTGTTTTTGTCGGTGATAGTTGATGTGTAAAGTTAGTTGTTTTCGTTAGATCAGACTTCCATTATCCAATATGATATAAAATGATTTGAAATCTCTGAAATAATCAATAAAATCATAATGAATAGCTGAGAGTAACAATTATATTAAGCAAAACAAAGTTATTTGATCTTCGACAACTATATTTTCTATGAGCAGTAATGCGACAGCATACTCACAGAAATACACTGATAGCCATAAATCATAACTACAGTACACGTCACAGAATCAATTCTTCTGTTATACCAAGACCAGAAAAAAACACCCTACAAAGAATACAATATTTATTCTAATCCCATAACGAACATTGATAAACAACACGCGTGGACTTCAAGAATGCTTAACTGTGACTGTTCTCATTTAACCCACCCAGGGTTATTCGTCCTCTCCTACATTCGGCCATCCTGCAGAAGGTCTGTCCTCAGACCTCATTCTGACCTGAGAACAGAAAAAAGATTAGAAAAATTCAACAGAGCAACGTTTATTCAGTGGTGACGTTATCAAAAGGTAACGTTTACCTTTTCTACTTACAGAGCAAAGTTTGCTCAATGGTGACGTTCACCAAAGGTAGCGTTTACCTTTTCTACTTACAGAGCAACGTTTGCTCAACGGTGACGTTCACCAAAGGTGACGTTTACCTTTTCTACTTATAGAGCAACGTTTCCTCAATGGTGACGTTCACCAAAGGTAACGTTTACCTTTTCTTCTTACAGAGTAACGATTGCTCAATGGTGACGTTCACCAAAGGTAACGTTTGCCTTTTCTACTTACAGAGCAACGTTTGCTCAATGGTGACGTTCACCAAAGGTAACGTTGATCTTTTCTATTTACAGAGCAACGTTTGCTCGACTTACTTTTGGTTGTCTTGGATACTTATCCATTACTTAAAATGATCTGGAGACATAATTGTTCTTGAGCATCTATAACCTTATCTGAGATCTTCCGCTTCGTGACAAGTGTGAGCTACATGTCCTGAACGTTGACAATTAGAACACACAATACGAGGTTTCCTACAATTTTTAGCTATATGTACCGAAATACCACAATTGAAACAAGTTAAACCTCCTTTGGAATTTTTCCTATTTTGATCTTGATGAACTAATAAATGGAGGAGTTCGGTAACTAGCACTAGGGACTGTGATTTGAGATGGCATATCTCCCATGGTATTCAAATGAGCATATAACAAATCAGCATCAGTATACTGGGCTGATCTAATAGTACGAGCTAAATTTTCATCTGTTATACCACCTATCACAGCATCGACTAAATATTCATCAGGAATTGCCAAATTGAGTGCTTTTAGTTTTGATAACTTTTGAAAACGATAGTCGCCTAAGTTTTGACCAGGTTTTGTTTCATAATTAGCAGCAGGATTGTCGGAAAAGATGAAAGGAATTGGTCATTTGGTGGCTGAGATCATCCACAGGGTGGAACACTGGTTTAGGACGAAATTCGAAGAAGCAGCATATATGTTGTCCAACAACGCATTCAGCCAAGCTAGCGTAGAGATACGCAACATATAGTAACTCATAATCAAGTGGGAAACGGCCAACTCTTGCTAAACGGTTAGCTTCCGCCGAACCGGTGAAGCAGGGAGAGGGAAAACGAGATAGATGAAACCATTCGAATGACCTCTTGGAGGAGTGAATCCAGTCATCACCTGAAGACGATTATGGCTACTAACAATCGAAACGTCGTGTTGCTTGTAATTTATTTTATTGTGATTTCATTTGAGGTTTTTCTTGGATTAATATAATTGTAATTCCCAACTATTCATTTTAATTTTATTGATTCTTTCAGAGATTTCATACTATTTTGTAACATATTAGATAATGGAAGTCTGAACTGATGAAATTTCCCATGGAACATTGTCAACCTTTAAACTGAGTTGATTTTCATTCATTACATGTTCACTTGAAATTTCTTTCTTATCGAAAAGTAAAACTGG